TAAATCGATTTCGGATCTAACATAGCCAAGTCGGCACCTACACACTCCTAATCTATAGATGATTAGATTTCGTAACTTATCGTGTCGTACATGTCAAGTTGTTCATAATCGTGCAGAGTTTAAAAAATATGAAACGTTTCCAGGCACGGCCACAAGAGTCACAAGGGAATAACATTAATTATTTGTGCGGCCCCGACAACGTAATAAAGAGACTTTCTAGCGATCTCTTTCTATTGAGTTATATAAAACTCATTATTCTTATACCTTAACCTATAGGGTGTCCCAAAAAAACCGAAAACTATTGAAATCACCCATAACAATGCAATTGTTAGAGTTTGAATGCCTAAGCACTCTGTTGGGACCCACAGGTGTATAAATGTTTACCATGCATACGCATTTTTAAGCATGCATATGATGCAGTAAAATTTGCTTGTACGCAAAAATGATATTTATTAACAATATTTACAATTTACAAATATGGATAACAATATTTAAATGTGTATATCAAGGACCATGTCCTTCGACATATTCCCCTTTCTCTAGCTACACAAAGCATTTAGCATTTCATAAGTTGCATTAAATCCCTACGGGCTGACACCGCGGAAATTGGTATAGGCTTAGCCGCAATTCTCGATACTTAGACGTCAAACTTGGTGAGAAAAAAGATTTATAAATATTCAAGAAAATATGTCTTGCACAAAAGATTTGAAGCTTGCTCACGGTAAAAACGAATCGTCTGAATTAATAACCTTGTGTATACTTTAAGCCTCAAAATAGCCATTTCACAGCGGTCAGATGTGTATGATGAGCTGTCAAAAGATTGCAGAATGCGTATTCAGAAGAAAAATTGAACTTTTTTAAGATATTCAAAAGGTTTCTCTTTGATAGGGTGATACAGAAATGCACAATTGTGAACCAGCGATTAGATTTTCGGGTTGAAACGTCTTAAACACCAATTTCTGCGGTGTCCTACGGGCTAAAATTCGTGAGCACGGCATTCAAATTTTAACAATGAGTGATTTCAATAGTTTTCGGTTTTTTTGGGACACCCTGTACGTATAAGTAAGTAAGCTACATACCGTTTCCCGGAGGTGTGAAATATAAAATTTGTTACATGCCACAGGTCCAGAGTTTTAATATTTCATGCAAGGAAATTCCATGTTCGTGCGTTCCGTACGTAGGTGAGCAAGCGTTCAGTTCTGCAAGCTTGCAGCTTTCGTGCGAATAAATTAAGCCGAACGTTATTAGATTTTTGTCCAATCAAGAGCTTAGCCAATGAGAAACTGTATTTTAACTATTGTTTCGTTCAGTAATGAGACTTTCCGTTCGTTTAGCGCCGTCGGTGAATGTTAACTAATCGTTAATAGCGTTAACATGCACCGATGGAGTTATAGCCTCATTAACGAAGGAAACATACGCTAAGAATATTGCTCCCTGTTGGCTGAGACTGCCAAATTCGTACGTTACCGTAAAATGCCAAGCTCTCATTGGTTGAACGTTTACTGTGATATATTTATAAACGAAACTACGTTTGCAGTTCTGTTTTGCATAAGTTTTTTTAACGCAGGTTGAATGCTTAATATTAGATTCCAATTTTTACGCTGATCGACAAGTAGCTTACGTACACCAAATGCTAATGTCAAGTGACATTATGCAGACCCTAAAATTCTGCCTAAAATTATTCGGCAAACAGCATTTCGCTCTCCGGCATTTTAGTACAAGGGTCAAGTACCGCTGAAATTCGAACTTTCAACAAATATTTCGCATATATGTTTATCGATTTTAATATAGCGCAGTATTGAAAGAACCTATTGCTAAATGCTAAATACAAAAATCTCTAATTTGCCGGCGTGGGAAGAAGGACATGTCGAAGATCATAAATGAATGTTGTTAATAGAAATAATTTGTATATGCACGAACAAATTGCACTGTTATCATGCATGAAAATGCTAATGTCAAAAATGATATAAAAAGGTTAGCTGGAAAACGCGGACACGGACACGCGGACACGGACACGCGGAAACGGACACACAGACATGAAAAACACGGACACGGACACACGGACATGGAAAACACGGACATGGAAAACACGGACATGGAAAACGCGGACATGGAAAACGCGGACATGGAAAACGCGGACATGGAAAACACGGACATGGAAAACGCGGACATGGAAAACACGGACATGGAAAACACGGACATGGAAAACACGGACATGGAAAACGCGGACATGGAAAACGCGGACATGAAAAACGCGGACATGGAAAACACGGACATGGAAAACACGGACATGGAAAACGCGGACATGGAAACACGGACATTATTATTAATATTATTATTAGACATAAATACAAACTGCGTATAACGTGGACTTTATTTTCCCAAATATCAACTATAATATATATAGAGATTACTTCATGGTTGGCGAGTGCGTACGATTTTTATGCACGAGTTGTGAAGGATGGCAGTACGAACGAGTGAGTGCAGCGAACGAGTGAGTTTGCGATCCTTCGCAACGAGTGCATAATAAAAATCGTACAAACGAGCCAACCATGAAGTAATTTGTTTATTAAATGTGTATAGAGATCAATTTGACAACGACACGCTTTTAATATACAAAAACACAGCGAGAAACAAAATCGAAACTTTATCCATGAAAGCATATTTATTACCGTTCAGTCTCTTTAATTTGTAATTTTGTTCAATAGAAGTTAGATATTCTTTCCGAAAGATTTGAGAATGTGCTGAATGTAAAAATATCGTGAATATGAGAATTATGTTTTGAATTTCACTCCTATATTTCGACGCCATCTTGAAAGAAAATGAAAACAAATTGCCGCCAAAATGACATACGACAATTTTTCACGCGTGAAGAATATCGTACGTCCAATCAAAAGTCGTGTATGGCATTTTTTCACACGTGAAAAACATCGTACGTCCAATCAGATTGCATGAAATTAATTTACACAGTGAAATATGATTTTTATTTCATCATTTTTCTGTGCATAAATATCTATACACATATAATAAATATATATATATGTATAGGTAATAGTATGGTTTCGAGTGCAATTTGGAAAAAACATGCACGAGTGAGTTTTTCAAAGACTCAAAATAGCACGAGTCCGAAGGACGAGTGCTATTTTGGGTCTTTGAAAAACTCACGATGAAAATGTTCGAGACAAACACACTTACGAGTATTTCTTGTCCCCATGTACATTTTGTTGATCGATTTTTCCTTTATATTGAATATTTCCTTTAGCGACGTTATATTTCTTAAATATTTCGTTGTGAAACCATTGTTTTAACGTTAAAAAGTCGCGAAAATCCAAATTTCCGTGCTTGATTTCCGTCGCCATCTTGGTTTGTTTTGTTTGGGGCAAGCATTATATTTTTCCCGCCAAAACGTAGCTCGAATTTGATTGGCTAATATTTACGACAGCCAATCATCTTGTCTGACAAATTCTTGTATAACGCCGTTGGTCCTCTCTGATCGATTGGTGGTAAATCTTTCCGGAGGGCAACCCAAGCCGCATCTTTGACGTACAGGGCTTATAACGCTTTCCTGAAACTCCTGCGCTTTAAGTTTAACGAACCAGTCGTAAAATGTTGCACCGCTGGGATGAGCGTTTGACCATCTCTGTTTCAATACCCCTAGAAGATTCTGAAATTCTTCATTGCTCGTTGCTTCTGTCAAACCACTTTTAAAAACATCACCATTTTGTTTCCCAAATACATCCGAAATTACATCGTTCTTGACGTCTCCCGTAATTCCTAACTCAATAAGCTTTCTTTCTAGATTCTTCTTCAAATGTATTTCACAGAGAAGGTGTGTAGTTCAAAATGTCTGCTGAACCCCTTCGCTAGCGCCTTCTCGTCATCTGTTCCGAAAGCCATTAGGGTTGATAATCCTGGTTCTAAAGTCTTAAGCGAAGACGGAAATGTCGAATAGGTTTCACGAGGTTCTATAATCCATTATATGTCCATGAACATTTTTTTTCGAATTTAATTAATAGTTTAAACAATTTATACAAGTAATGAAAAACATTAAAAATTCTAAAAACTCAAATTTTAACAGTTCGTGTGTCCATTGCTATTATTAAACGTGGATCAGTAATTGTTTGGCTAATTTCATTTTTTTCAACAAATCAAATGTATTTAATAAGGGGTTTTTCCACTGTTGTTACAGAAATTTGCACTGTACACGTTTTTGCACTACTGTTTGGGATTGACCGCACTGAAATCAAGCATTCAGGGTCATGAAACGTTTCCTTGTATAGTAGATATACATGCATGCCAAATCCCCTCGCCTGAAGCAATAAACATATATTTCCATCACTGAAATTCTATAATACTTGTTTCTGCTGAATGATCGAAGTCGTATAAGTAAAATCCTATATCAAGTGCAATTATAAATTCTCGAGCTATCACATTCAACTATAACCATACTTCATTAATTCTGCTAGGAACAGTTTTAAATACTGTACCAAAAATTAATTTTTAGCGAAATTTGAATTCCTTTTTAAACAGATTCACATTTAAATATAAATGCTTTCTCAATCAAAATCATTCGGTTAACGAAATTGACGAGTATATTCAAATAGGTGTCGTAAATTTGTTGATAAATGCACAAGTTAAATTTACAAAATGCTTGCATGCTTTAAAATATAAAATCTATCCATTTACCCCAAGTATGTACTATAACGATATTATGGACACGACACTGCATTCATACCTCGGAATTTTTTAAATGCATATTATGGAAACGGCGATTATATGTTACATTGTATGTCACATAGCTTTTAAAAAACGAGTGATCTATGATAATAACCGATCATGCACTGTTCGATTGAATGTGTGCTGACCATTCGCAAAATGCGAGGTTTATAAGTATTTTTCATGAGAGATGTTAATTCAGGTATAGCTAGAAGCTTAATTTGGGGGGGAGAGATTATATACACAGGGTCGTTGCTAGACCACTTATTTGAGGGCTGGGGGTTGTCTATTCATGGACTCATCGTATCACGGGACATCACCCTAACCAATTAAGTTTCCAGCTGCGGTCCTGAGACAATACCCTATTTAATCTAATTTAATTATTCATAATAATCATAATTATTGCATAGACGTAAACCTCGTTTCGAGCATCTCTCTTTAACATATATAGTTACTGTAAAAGACTGATAAACGTGAATTACATAATTTCTATGGTGTTGATTCTGAAAACGTTCCACTGCATTTACGTGAAACACAATAGGACTAAGAAGTTTCTCTTGTTTCTCGTAAGTTGGAATATTCCCAAGTGAACCAGACGACACCCAGTGTCCAGCATAAAAACTGCGCCAAACAGAAACACAAAAGCAATGTCTTACCGAATACGTTTGATGCAATTAGACGGCCAAGCAAGAAACCTACGTGTGCTGAGGAAAGTGATGAAGATTGGTAAAAAGCTGCGTCTTTTGGATGTGTTATTTTAGACAAGAGCGAACAACCCAAGGAAAATGAAAAGAATGGCATCCCAAGACAAATGTAAGGAAGGAGAATATATCCACCATATACACCTAACCCACTGTTCCAGTGGAAACCAATAAAAGTTAATAGCGAAATCGCAGATACCTGCATCAGCATAGAACAAATTAGCAATAGCGTTTCATGGTAATATTTTGAAGCAATATAGAACACGAGAAATAGAACCATGGCAAACAAAGAACACACGAGGAAAAGCATTTTCACATGGATGAATTGAAGATGGAAGTGGTCTTGTGCAAGCAAGGGAACATAAACTGCAACCGCGTTTGAGTAGAAAAAGCTTAAAAATACCAGGTAAAATATCAAAAAAATTGCCGAGTAAGAACCATATTTTGCTTTTTTGCGAACATCATCACCCTCATCATCATGATCGTCCTCTGTCACCTTTATTGTTCCAAACTCCTTGGGGAACCATAGCGTAATTAGAAACAGTCCAAACCATATCATTGCATCAACGATACCAGGAGAATTACCAGCATCAATCTTCCATCCAAAAATATTTACATTGAAGGTCAAAAATACGCCGACAGTGGGACCAAAAAGCGTTCCCGAGGTATATATTCCGTCCAACATTATAAAGATTTGTGCACGATATCTCTTAGGCGTGTACAGTGTTATTTGTCCAAAAAGTACTCCAGCGGATCCGCTGCTGAACCCAGCTAATATTCTGCCTGTCAAGGGAAAGTAGGGCGAGACTGGAATTGAATATATCACATAGGACATGCCCTTTAAAAACATACTGACGACGATGATGCATTTAACATTTCCGAATTTGTCCGCGAATCTCCCAATGATTGGGCTGGACGGAAGAGCGGCGAATTGGTATGCTGTCATGACGATTCCGAAGAAAGTCATATCTTGTCCCAGAGATTTGACATAATACCACGCTGTTGCTGCGATGAGGTACTCGTCGAGTCCATCAAATAAATTTCGTAAAACAATCGCACAGAATACCAAAGTTTTTAAGTATGTAATCTCCATTTCTCCAATCTCCTGAATTTGGTCTGTGAAATAAAAGAACGAATATCCACGTAAATTTTACAATCAAAGGTATGGTGTATGTTATAAACTCTACATTTTGAACAGCTAGAAAATGTATTCCCTAAAACAATATAATTACACACTCGACAGTGTTTTTTTACCACACTTAGTCATCATACCCTCAAGCTTTCATTCTTATACAATTTAGACCTAACTAGATGAACTTAAGGCTTTTCAGTCTACGAAAACTCAACAATAGTTTTTGTGGTAATACTTTAATTAAATGCGTGGACATGCATGCTTTATATACTTTTGCATTTCTTGCAAAGAAATATATTATATTAGGTTCTTTCAACAGCAATATTTCAACTTTATTACATTCAGTAAACACCAATGCATGCTGTATACAGGCATGTTTCAATGTTTCGACGAAAGTTGAATCATAACAATATTGTAGCTTAATTTTTAACTGGATGAATGTTACGCAATTTTATTGTATTTAGTGTATATTTAAAATAAAAATTATAAATACAGCATTTGCATGTCATTTAAAGAAAAGAGAAGAACATTAAAATGATTGGCATTTCAATAGCGCTGAAAGAACTACAATAGCGCTAATTTAAAATCAATTGTATTAGTGCGGAAGTTCAACAACACGGCCTTATTATATATTCCGTAAAGTGAAAATCAATAGAACGAAACGAAGAACAATTGCGTTAACTTATTGATCATTAACATTTTCGCAACAACAATAGCAATAAATCAAACGACATTTAGCATAGAGAAATATTCATTAATGTAAAGGTGTACAAAGTAAATATTAGAGTTCGCATTCTATCATATTTGTCTTTTCACACAACAACAATATATGTGCAGTATGTTTTATCCCTGGATGTGTTCTCTTGCAAGTAGGTCTGCATGAATAAGTCTGCCCCATGCTGTGTACATTTTGCAATGGTTAGGCAGTGCACATTCCGTTCAGCAGCTGCTATCAAAATTTGTTTTTGAAATTCAACGTTTTGAAGTGAACAACATCTTTTCATTATCTCATCTGTGCCTTTATAGCTATCTTTTGTTTGTAATTCATGTATACATATTAGAACGCAGATGAGAGAACTTTGTGTAAATGAGTATTTCTTTACGCTAAAATGTCGTTTGATTTATTGCTATTGTTGTTCCGAAAATGTTAATGATAAAAAAATTAATGCAATTGTTCTTCGTTTTGTTCTATTGATTTTCACTTTACGGAATATATAATAAGGCGTTGTTGTTGAACTTTCGCACTACTTCAATTGATTTTCAATCAACGCTATTGTAGTTCTTTCAGCGGTATTGAAATACCAATCATATTAATGTTCTTCTCATTTCTTTAAATGACATGCAAATTCTGTAATCCAATAAGCTATTTCCCAATCGAGCAGGGTACTGGGTCTAGTCGCGAACCGGAAAGCATATTGACTGAAGAATATTGTACGTCCAATCAATAGTCGTGTATGGCATTTTTCACGCGTGCACAACATCGCATGTCCAATCAAATTTCTTAATTAACCCAGTGAAGAACGATTTTTATTTCATCATTCTACTGGGCGTAGATCTCTATGCGCATATAATAAAAAAATCTTACCATTACCGGTACCTTTGCCTTGGAGCTGTATCTAGTACAAAGTAATAAGACTGTTGCAATAGTAAAAGTTTGGCAGGCTAATAGTATACATCAAACTTTTACTATCCAGCCATGAAAACTAATTTATCAATAAGCTAGCCTTTTTACTTTTTGAGTACTCTTGTATAAATTATGAGAATTTTACTATCCCAAGAAAAGCGATAAATTAGAAGTGAGATATCGATGGATTATATGAATGTATTTTATAATTCGCTTCAATGAACAACAATATTGTTTCGGCGTACTCAAATACGGTCAATCACATGCGTCAAATTTGACAAAGAATATCTGATCGTGCAAAAGCAGCCTTAACCGAATCAACTAGACCAGCAAGCATTATAAAAACAATTCAACATGATTGCTCTGATGAAGGCCTGAAGTTTGCAGCTGAAATTTGAGTTGTTAAAACTTAAAAATTTTATCATGTATACTCTACCGATCGCCAGAATAGCATAATAGGAGAATATACATATACATATATTCAATTTAGTTTCAAGTGGGATTTGTTTAGAGGTTGCTTCAACAACAATTTGACATTTGCCAATATGCCAGGCTTCCAAACAACGCCTTTGTCCATAACGATCATTAGTGGTAAAGATTATACAGTTATCATTGACAAAACGTTATCACCATTATAACTAAAGATGATAGTGTGATTTCATAGATCCAGTAAAAAGGCACAGGTGGTTTGCAATGTTGATTACAGATAATAACTCATCAGCATGGAGATGATAGCACGAGTTCGTAGGTCCAATAAGACTGCGTGGCTTGTTTACAAATTTCATTGACAATATCTTCTGTGGTAATCAATCCGACAATCAGTCAACATTGAATGCCATCGTTCATCATTGATATAAATGTGTATTTGCTGAGTAGTAGTTACCAGGAAGGTATGTCCTAGGACCTGGATTTTCCTACCTATCATTTGAAAGTATCAGTAATAATGGCACATAAACATTGTGATAGTATATAATTTGAACATACCATAAGCACAATTCACTGTTCCTTTGACCCTTAATCAATTCGTTCTTGAGATATGACAAGGGCAGGTATTGAAATTGAACCAGCAGTGCAAATTCAACCATTCAACAAATTCAACCATTGTGCAGATATAAATAAAACGTTAAACCATATTTGCTGATTTTTTCAAACAAAATACTAAGTTTAAGGCTACAAATATGGGCGTCATTATTGAAGTTCATCACTCCAGGATTGGTTCACACCACAATTTTCTAGACCGTCGAAACAGTCTCTGGCAAGCTTTGGAATCAAATACTGTTGATGTTTCATATTAATGTATTTTGCTTGCCATATCTCAAGAAGCAATTGATTAAGAGTCAAAAGAACAGTGAATTGTGCTTATGGTATGTTCAAATTATATACAATCACAATGTTTATGTGCCATTATTACTTTCAAATGATATGGAGAAAAATCCAGCTCCTAGTATGTACCTTCCTGGTAACTACTATTCAGCAATACACGTTTATACCAATAATAAATGATGGCAATCAATGTTGACTGATTGTCGGACTGCATGATTACCACAGTGATAAGATATTGTCAATGAAACTTGCAAACAAGCCACGCAGTATTAAAGATTTGTACGCTCGTATAATTTTATTCCGATTGTCATCAAAATTGCTCGATCACAGTGGTATTTACAAGCATTTGTCCCACTTGGAAGTAAAAAACCACCCCTCGTTTATCGGGAATGAAATTCAAGTGCGAAAGATTCAAAATAATTTGAAAGTCTAGCGCACACTCCACGACAAATGCTCGTGGGCAACATTGTAGGGGGGAGGTACATTTTCACGAATACATTTCTGGTTTGTTTTTTTAGCTTTGTGAAAGCAAAAACATGCAATTTTAACCGGGAGACTTGTTAAAATTGTTATGAGAAATACTAACAGGAAAACGGACAAATTTTACTCGTGTTGTTGACTGATTGTGGTTGTGAACAAATGTATGCTTGAATTTTCGTCCCCCGGAATGTTGTCCACGAGGGCTAGTCACGGAGTTTGCGCGAGACTTTCAAATTATTTTGAATCTTTCGCACTTGAATTTCAATCCCGATAAACGAGGGGTGGTTTTTTACTTCAAAGTGGGACAAATGGTTTTAAATTTTGGATAGCTGCTATTGTACTATCAATTATTTATCGATTCTGTGGAAAAAATACAGCTTGGGGATCAAGAAGTGGCATTTATCGTGCAGAAAGGCGACGAGACATGGCAATGGCGACATAATTGATAAAATGTCAAGAGACAAAAAAATCAAAAAATATTATATGGCACTTCTTTAAAATCCATCGAAAATTGGTTGAAAAATTTTTTAGTCCACTAGAATCGTGCTAAAGTACAGTATTTGGATGGTGCTTGCGACGGACGGCGAAAAACGGCGATCAAATTTGCAAAATATGGCTGAAATCGTGTTATGGCGGGAGGTAAGTGAAATGAAATATGTCCTATCGCAACAAAACATTGTTATTTCCTAGGAAATTTATAATAAATATATTAAGATAAGCATGTTTTTTCATCATATGGCAAAATTTTTTAGAAAATAAAGAAAATTAGACTTTGCCGGGTGAATCTGTAATTTTATGCATAATTAGCAGTTGACCTGGAATAGTAAAGATTCATTTTCTTGTAAAATATGAAACTTAGGCTAATTTCACCCTCCAGTGACCACCCCTAAAAGCAACCATTCTGAACCATATAACAATTTAGAAAGAATGTAGCTTTGATAATTCAGGATTTAGAGCTATGTCAACTATGCCGTTTCTGGGTGTGGTCATTTTGTAGACTTTCGTCCCGGATTTAGATTTTGGCACATATAAGCCATGTTAACCGCCATGGTCATTTTACCCTAAAGCAGTTGAGATAATCTGTCTTAAATGAAATGCATGCAAACTTTTTTACAGATCCTAGACTAAATGCGTTATTTTATACACGAGTGAGCAGCACAATGAAAATGACGAAAATGCATTCCAAAGCAGGCGTAAGGAATAAGGAAATTACCACCGTTACCTAAATGACTAGTTTGTGGTTGAAATTCGTTGTTTATTAATTTCTGTAATCCCAGAAATACGTTTAATTAAGTAATCTTTCAGTTCTAGGATAAAGGTATGGACGCAACTGATGTAGATTAAAAAAAAATGTGATAAACAATCGATTTGTGCGAAATTTAACGATGGAATAACGCAGAAAATGTTTCTAAAGGAATTAATAAATTAATCAAACAACAAAGGTAAGAACTTAAATACAAGTCAATGAGAACGAAAAAATATTCGATATTCATTTGAAGTTTGTATACGTAGCGTAGTGATCACAACGTAAATTAACAAAATTTTGTCGTAGAATCGTAGAGTACGCGTCCGAATCACACAAGACGCGTTGGCCGCGCTTTTACCAAGCCTTTCTTACGCGTATTGAGTTTCCTAACCGCGTCGTGGATCACGGTAAACTTTCTAATCTGCCAACCAAAGGAAAGTAAGCCGAGACTGGAATTGCATAAGTTACATAGGCAACAGACTTCAAAAATAAACTGACGACGAAGATGCATTTAAAATTTTAAGATTGGTCAGCCAATCTCCAAACAATGCATGGGACTGGACAGAAGCTTTCAATCATAGAGAGAAAAAAGTTGGTATACTTTATCAAAATGGCCATTTCACATGGAGCTGGAAGATGTGTATGATGAGGTTGCAAAAGATTCAGAGTATATATTCTGAAGAAAAATTGGAACTTTTTAAAGTTATTCAATAGTTTTCTCTTTGATATAGACACGTCAGTAGATTTAGTAATTAGACTGCCGGTTTGAAATTTAATAAATACCAATTTCCGCCATATAAGTAATGTGAAGTGGGATGTTAACTCAGTTTCTATCTTTGAAGTGGCAAGCCCTATTCACGTTTGGTTTTCTCACAAAGACATAATTTTATTATGTTTAAACACGGTAGTTATCTATATTTACAACGGCGGATCAAGGATCAGGCGAAATCTCAACATGCAGCTAGCTAACTTGCATCGCGTACGTGTCAAGCTGCCGGCGGCAAAATGCCGCGCGAAACCTAAAGAACGGCAAGGATGACAAAATATCCTTGAGCGGTAAGGATGCCAAGATACAAAACGGTATACCGTTGCCATCATTTGATGGGTGAACTGGCTGAAGGATATACCCTAGTTTAACCGGTGTATAGATTACGCGTTAACCTATAATTATGTCCTTCAAATATGTATTGTCAATAAGGTAGCTAGTGGTGTGTAAATTAATGATAATGGCCCAAAATAATCCACATAACTACAAACTATAAAGCGGAACATAATAAAGACAAAAATACGACGGAATACTGGCAAACAACATTTCATGAAAGTCAGTGTATTAATTAGATCTTACAGGCCAATTATTGCTCGCTCATGTCTAAAACTTTGAATTCTTGGCAGCGTATATATGACGGAGTGCTTAATAAATTCTACATGCATAGCGAGAGAGAAATGCCGCGTGAAATTGTATAAATTTTGCCCTAATATTTTTCAGTTTAGCAGTCTGTGCATGCAAATTACAAATGTATACATAGCAATAAATGAGGACAAAATAAAACGTAATGAAACAACGTAACTAAATCTGTTTAGAACGTACCAAAGCTAGATACCTGTATGATTATAAGCGTATATAACAAAATGGGTTCAATGAACCAGTGAACTTATACAATATCAAAATATTTAGTCTGAGTTTATATTAAGTGTCTATTATTAGGACTTACCTTTAACATCCGATACGTGAATTCCTGTAGAAAGACCTAATCACCATGATTCTACTCACCATACAGGAATCAACTGATTGAAATTTGAGTAAACTTTCCAATTTATGTCCTTTATATGCACTATTCACAACACTCATAATGATATGCAAAGCGGAAATAAGGCTTAATAACCTAGAATTTGCAAGTATAAGTGTTTTTAAGCCATGTTACACGGTGCAATTTTTTTTAACTTGCAACGCTATTCTACTTTAAAGAGATGTAAATAAGTGAAGAGTCTTACCTGTTACCGAAATATTCAACACTTCATTCGCCACAGCTATTTTGAAAAAGAAGAAAATCGCAGCAAGATCACAAGTGTAAACGAGCCTTTAGGAACCAAGTTTTAATCAGTTTTACAAACAGCTGTAACTCCAAAAGGAGAAGGAGTCCATAATTTTCATTCCTGTTGCGCTGAAACTGTGCAGAGGACGACTGTATTAGTCCCTCTTGTCATTCAGGAGTGCGATTTAATGAACAAAATTAATTACGTAATTTTTAGCTCGTTTGCACGATTTTTATTATGCACTAGTTGTTAAGGATTGCAAACTCACTCGTACCATGGCGATATGACATCATCAATTAAATCACGAATTTCAGGAGGGAAGGTATCATAGCGAGAAAATGAGCATGGTGAGTGGTGACCTATCTTTTTTATTGCAGAATCACTTGATTTATAATAACTTTTTGAATCTTTTGAGAAAATAATTTCAAAATCGACAGTGTAGTTTTTTTTAAAAAGCCAAAAATTGGCTTGACAAAAACTGTACTGGCGATTTTTCCCAAAATTTGAAATTAACTTAGCATGGTACATATACGTACAAAATTTGAGATATGGTTACCGTGGAAATGAGCGAGGAAATAGCGCCTCAATATGCAGTTTTTATTTCACGAAAACCCTTCAACTACATGCATTAAATCAGATGTTATTTTCTTCTGCGGATGCGGCTGGACGGACAATTATCTTTAACAGATCTCTAAGTTTCTGAATTAAACCGTTTAGTTTTTACTCTTCGAAGCTAAGTGATAGTCTTTTTTTCTTCTTGTGTTGTACAGATGAACGTCGCTGTTTAATACAAAGTCAAACTTTTTCATTCTTTATCTTATATACTAACAGACAACGATGGCAGGGCGTAATCTCTGTTCAAAGCTTACAGTAGATTATTATGCGGTGTAAACATTCCTTAATGTAGGTCAATCAGGCAAAGGGAATGCCATGGCCTGTGGCAATAGCGGACTCATGATCATGTTAATTTCACCGTCTAATTTTTATATTTAAAACACCTGAATAACATGTTTAATTGGTTCATAAAATACGACAAGAGCTAAATATCTACATAATTATTCACTTTAATACACATTATATCAATTAGTTAACACGTGTAATGAGATAGAGCATAAATAGCGACAAAATAGGTAATACGGAAAATTTGGGTGTAATCTGAAAAATGAGCTTCGTCATCGCCATTTTTTTAACTCAGTACCGGTCCCAGATCGTTGAAAGTAACGCTAGAAGTGTGTCGATTAAACTGTGTCAAGTAATATCCGCCCCTGCTATACGTAAGTAGGGATACTCTAAAGAAAACCAGACAGCACCAAGTGCCCAGCATAAAAACTGCGCCAAACAAAACCACAAAAGCGATGTCTTGGCAAAAATGTTGGATGCGGTTAAACGCCCCAGCAAAACTCCTATATGAAGTGCGGCAAGTGACGAAGACTGGAAAAAGGCTGCGTCTTTTGGGTTGGTTATTTTAGACAAGAGAGAACATCCCAAAGAAAATGAAAATAATGGCATTCCAAGACAGATGTATGGAATGAGAATATAACCACCGTAAACACCGAACGCGCTGTCCCAACTGAACGCAATAAAGCTTAATAACGTTATCGCAGTTAACTGGATTAGCATGGAACAAATTAGCAATTTGGTCTCATGGTAATATTTCGCGGCAATGTAGAACACGATGTAAAGAACCATTGAAAATAAAGAACCCACGAGGAATAACATTTTTACATGAACGAGTTGAAGATGGAAGTGGTCTTGTGCAAGCAAGGGGACATAAATTGTTGTCGTGTTTGAGTAGAAGAGGCTTAAAATTACAAGGTAAAATATCAAGAAAATTTGAGAATAAGAACCAAATCTCGCTTCTTCATCGGAATCTTGAGTCTCAAGAACATCGTCATGGTTATCATCTGCCACTTTCATTGTTCCAAACTCTTCAGGAAGCCACAGTAAAATTACAAACATTCCAAACCACATCATTCCACAAACTATTCCTGGGGAATTACCAGCATCAATTTTCCAACCAAGAATATTTATATTAAAGGTAAAAAATACGCCGATTGTGGGACCAAGAAGAGTTCCCAAGGTTAACATTCCATCCAACATTATAAAGATTTGTGCGCGGTGTTCTTTTGGTGTATACAATGTTATTTGCCCAAAAATAACTCCAACAGATCCTGTGGTAAGACCATCTAAAAACCTGCCTGCCAAAGGAAAATAGGCCGAGACTGGGATTGAATATATAACATAGGAGATGACCTTCAAAAACATACTGACGACGATGATACGTTTATAATGTCCAAATTTATCCGAAAATTTCCCAGTGATAGGGCTGGACCAAAGAGAGCTCAGTTGGTAAGCTGACATAACAATTCCGAAGAAAGTTATATTTTGTCCAAGCGATTTGACGTAATACCATGCTGTTGGTGCAATCAGGAATGAATCGAGACCGATAAGGAATTGATGCAGAACAAAAGCGTAGAACACAAATGTCTTCAAATTTGTAATCTCCATTTTTAGATTAAATAGATCTGGTTAATAGAAAAGGGGAAAATATTAGAGTGAAATATTGAACAAGTATTTTATGGTTTCAGTGTTTCGATAGCCTTATTGAAACACGGGCGTTGACCAATCAGAAGTCGCGTTGTATACAATCTTGTTATTTTATGACACAATCTTGCACAATCTCCATGGGGAAATTTTAAAAAACGAAGCAGGAAGCTGTTACATTGAATTGTGAAAGAAAGCTAATATTCATTTTTTGTAAACTTACGTTCTGATTGGTCGATTTGTACCACGTGAGTGAATGTTAAATAACAACAACGCCACGGCAGTGCTGTTATAGGATTTATTGCACTATCAAATGGCTGCAACAAACAAAAATTTGCCGAACTTAGCGAACAGAACGGGGAAATTAATGTAATTATAGATGAATCCACACCAAACGGGCAACCGCTTGGGGTATTTCAGTATTTAAAGATAAGCATGTGTTGTTTATTTAAGTTTATAAATGATACAAAGTCTTTACGAGTTTACTCAAAATGAATATTAAAAGCATTAAAGCACTCTTTGTTTGTGCATCATCGGGTTTTACATCATCGGGTTCACTCATGTAAAACCCGATAATGCAATCACAGAGTGCATTAATCCTTAAATAATGTATACCAGAATAAAATATTTATGGTGTACTTTTGTGCGCCGAGATTTCTGGCTATCATATCAATGCCGAGTATGACATGTTGATATTAAGTCTTTAGGTAAATTAAAGCATACTGGGATCCAATGGGGAAATCTCTTTAGAAATCTCTTTCAGTTGAGGACAAATTGATAGTGTTGCTGTGTTGGGTAAGCCTATATATTCACGTTTGGTTTCCTCAGAGAGACATATTATGTTTAAACACTCTAGTTATCTCTATCTACAGCGGCGAATCCAGGATAAGGCGGAATGAATTTCAACATGCAGCTAGCTAACTTGCATCGCGTACGTGTCAAGCTGCCGGGCGGCAGCATGACGCGTGAAACGTAAAGAACGGCAAGGATGAAAAAATTTCCTTGAGTGGCAAGGATGCCAAAATACAAACTGACGGCATACCGTTACCGTCATTATTTTGATGTACGAACTTGCTGAAGGATATACCCTGGTTTAACTGATGAAGATTACGCGTTAACCTATGATTATGTCCTTCCAATATTGTGAATGAGGTAGCTAGTGTTGTGTAAATTAATAATAATGGCCAAAAATAATCTGCATGACTACAAACTATAAAGCGGAACAGCAAAAATAATAAAGACAAAAATACGACGGAATACCGGCAAACAACATTTCATGAAAGTCAGTGTATTGATTAGATCTTACAGGCCAATTATTGCTTGCTCGTGTCTAAAACATTGAATTCTTGGCAGCGTATGACGGAGTGCTTTATAAATTCTACATGCATAGCGAGAGAAATGCCGCGTGAAATTGTATAAATTTTGCCGTAATATTTTTCAGTTTAGCAGTCTATGCATGCGAACTACAAATGTACATACCAATAAATGAGGATAGAATAAAACGTAATGAAACAACGTAACTAAATCTGTTTAGAACGTACCAAAGCTATATACCTGTATGATTATAAGCGTATATAACAAAATGGGTTCAATGAACCAGTGAACTTATACAATATCAATCTAATATTAGGACTTACCTTCAACATCCGATACGTGAATTCCTGTAGAAAGACCTAATCACCATGATTCTAATCACCTTGCAGGAATCAATTGATTGAAATTTGAGTAAACTTTCGAATTTATGTCCTTTATATGCACTACACTCATAATGATATGCAAAGCGGAAATAAGGATTAATAACCTAGAATTTGCAAGTATAATTGTCTTAAAGCCATGTTACACGGGATATGTTTTAAAACACCACACGAGTCTGAACAGGAGTGAACACGAGTGAACACGAGTGAACACGAATGAACACGAATGAACACGAATGAACACGGATGAACACGAGTCAGAACACGGCTCCAAAAATATGAACACGAGTGAACACGAGTCAAAAAATCATGAACACGAGCGAACACGAGTCCAAAAATCATGAACACGAGTGAACACGAGTCAAAAAATCATGAACACGAGCGAACACGAGTCAAAAAATCATGAACACGAGCGAACACAAGTCAAAAAATCATGAACACGAGTCCAAAAATCATGAACACGAGCGAACACAAGTCCAAAAGTCCAAAAATTATGAAAACGAGTAAAAAAACACAAACACGAGTAAATTTTGTAAATATTTGAACTCATTTAAACAAAAACACAACAAGATCCTACAGAGGCATCTTTTAATTACACTCTTTATTATAGTAAAGTATTAACCCGGATTTATTTAAGATTGAGGCTGGTTAGTGATTACTACAATCTTGGACAAAATAGTTTAGTAACGTGAAGTTATGTTATGCGGGAAATTTATTATGACTTAAACTCAACTTCGCAGCTAGAGGGAACAAGGATTAGGTACATATAATAAGAAAAGAATGCGCATACGACTTTGTCGAAGATTGTAGTATAATCATTATCAGTGACCGGTTCTTAGTGTTCAAAGCAGGTTAGCCTAGCCTTAGGTCAACCTCCGCCGCAGGGCACTTTTCATTGCAGTGCTTTCCGCCCACTGGGCTCCCAGGAAAGCCTACGAAAGACCCTGGGTAAGAGGTTGGCCTTGGGTAACAAAATTGTTCAAATGAAAGTTTCCAAGATTGGTGATTTTATAACTATAACAATGATTGACATCGTATAATTCCCAATCGAGCAGAGTACTGGGTCGAGTCGCGAACCGCAAAGTATCTATGGACTGTTTGGAGGGACAAATGATTTCAGACTTATATTTCCTGTCCCTCCAAACAGTCCATAGATACATTGCGGTTCGCGACTCGACCCAGTATTCTGCTCGATTGGGAATTATACGATGTCAATCATTGTTATAGTTATAAATTTACTCGTTTAGCATCACCAATCTTGGAAACTTTCATTTGAACAATTTTGTTACCCAAGGCCAACCTCGTACCCAGGGTCTTTCGTAGGCTTTCCTGGGAGCACAGTGGGGGGAAAGCACTACGATGAAAAGTGCCCTGCGGCGGAGGTTGACCTAAGGCTAGGCTAACCTGCTTGGAACTGACACTATAAGAACCGGTCACAGATAATGATTATACTACAATCTTCGACAAAGTCGTATGCGCATTCTTTTCTTATTATATGTACCTAATCCTTGTTCCCTCTAGCTGCGAAGTTGAGTTTAAGTCATAATAAATTTCCCGCATAACATAACTTCAGTACGTTACTAAACTATTTTGTCCGAGATTGTAGTAATCACTAACCAGCCTCAATCTTAAATAAATCCGGGTTAATACTTTACTATAATAAAGAGTGTAATTAAAAGATGCCTCTGTAGGATCTTGTTGTGTTTTTGTTTAAATGAGTTTTACTCGTTTTCATAATTTTTGGACTTTTGGACTCGTCTTCGCTCGTGTTCATGATTTTTGGACTCGTGTTCATGATTTTTTGACTCGTGTTCGCTCGTGTTCATGATTTTTTGACTCGTGTTCACTCGTGTTCATGATTTTTTGACTCGTGTTCATATTTTTGGAGTCGTGGTCTGACTCGTGTTCATCCGTGTTCATTCGTGTTCATTCGTGTTCACTCGTGTTCTGACTCGTGTGGTGTTTTAGAACCGATCTGTTAGACGGTGCATTTTTTTTTAACTTGCAACGCTATTCTACTTTAAAGAGATGTCAATGAGTGAAGAGTCTTACCTGTGACCGATATATTCAACACTTCATTTGCCACAGCTATTTTGAAAAAGAAGAAAATCGCAGCAAAACTAATCGCAAGTGTAAACGAGCCTTGAGGAACCAAGTTTTTATCAGTTTTACAAACAGCTGTAACTCCAAAAGGAGAAGGAGTCCATAACTTTCATTCCTGTTGCACTGAAACTGTACAGAGGACGATTGTATTATAGCTACTTCGCGCACGCCTGCTTAAGGTCCCTCTTGGTATTTTAAGACTGACAGGGGCCCCGGAATATCGATAATAACGGGGCAGATATTCATATTTCGTGTTCTGCATTATTAACTCCTTTTGAAATCGATTGTTTTTACGATCTGCGAACACGAATATATGAATATCTGCCCCCGTTATGCCGGTTTTCCACTAGCGATATTTTTGCGCGAAGCGACTTTATTCCTTTGTATTTGAGCAATTTGTTCCAGATGGTTGCATTTGAGAGCTCTGGAACAAAAGTAAAATGTCGATTCGCGCGAAAAATATCGCCAGTGGAAAACCGGCTTTGTTATCGATATTCCGGCGCCCCTGAAGACTGCGTTTTGACAAAAACTCTATTACTCGTCATTTTTTCCCGTTTCAAGCCAGAAAATCGACCATATTAAGACGGCAGAAATTTTATGTAATTTAGTTCATAAAAATACGACCGTATAGGTATACGTAATGGATCTTTTCGGTAATTACGTCAGAACATTATCGCTTTAAGTTTCGAACCTCCTTAAATGAGTTGGATTTGAAGTTTACTCTCACAAGCTATGTGCGAGTAGAACTTTAAATCCATTTCATTTAATTAAGGTGGTTCTAAATTTAAAAGATTGCAACGTTAAAATCTTGTTACCTAATTACAGAAAAATGTCTATTGTTTACACATTATAATTATCAACTTGATAACATGAGTTATATACAGTTTAAACGCTTTAATTTGCGTTAAGGTCACGCAAATGTCGTCTTTTGACTCTTCCACAAATTGCATTGTCATAGAACTTCCAAAGCAGAAGAAAACGTCAAATTATTAAATATTATAATAGAAAAATCAATAATATGGATTCCGATCCAGTTTGCTCGGCTGCAATAACTACAACATATCTAATATGGAAACAGGGCCGTAGCTAGAAGCTTAATTGGGGGGGGGGTGTATATTCATATATTCGTCCTATGCCCAACCGATTTCTTTTGTACGCTATTGTTCC